CTCTCTCTCTCTCTCTCTCTCTCTCTCTCTCTCTCTCTCTCTCTCTCTCTCTCTCTCTCTCTCTCTCTGATGTGAACCACAGCTTCGATTGTGCATAAGATCTGTAGCGGTGGTTGACTCCCGTGAGATCTGTGACTTCTGACCATTATTCCGGAGTTCAGGCCTGACTGTCCTGGAGTCAACTACCTCGCATGCAGAGCAGCCTCCTTTGACTCTGGACCTTGTTGTACCAATTGACCCAAGGACCTTTGTCAGGCCCCTCTAGAACAGAGGCACGACTTTTGACCCCTGAACCTAAACTTGGACCAAAAGTTACCGCCCTGGACTCCGTCTGTGTGGAGTTTGAACTGCGTTGATTGCAGCGTTTGCTGATGTTTGTTTTGCTTATAGGAGTGGACAACACAGCACGTCAGAAAAAAGAGGCTAGGGCTCCACCGCCTCCATTGTCCGCGAAGAGGCTGCCAAACCCAATCACGACAGGTTAGTCTTTTCGAACATCTACTATGATTTGTACTCTCTTCTTCAGAGGTACTGGAAGCTTACACCACCACTACCTGGTGGGTTTAAACCGCCAGCACCTCGCCCAGGCAACTTGAGAGAATCAAAATTGAGACAATCCGAAGACTTCAGATGAACAGTGCTACAGGACCAAAATGGCTGATGGCGCCAGCCAAAAAAGGGAAAAAATGCCCCACTGGCGGTTCCTTTTTTCTTTGCCGCACAGTGCAAATCCGCATCAGGAAAAAGAGGCTCGGAGGCGCTTGCCCAGGCGCCCGAGCTGCCTCTGGCTGCCCCAAATGCCCAGCTGGGCAAGGTTCCAGCCAGTTTACGAGTCAAAAAACAACAACACAAGACAACAAAAGATGTTGTGCAGAACTACAACGTTCCGCTGAGGGCCACCTCAAAATTCCTTCCTTTCTTTGTAATTAAAAACAGGCCCTTATGGTCCTGGCTCCTTGTCCATTCTGGAGAGCGTCAGTCCGGTTCCTATTCCACCGGCAAGTCTAAGTAATACATGATTCACACACTCACGCCTCCTTCCATTTGGCCGAAGGATCCCTGACCGGCATTGATTACTCCTGCGTGAGGAGGATTGCCTGTCAGCTTGCCCTTCTCAAGTATTCCCCTCAGGATGGGCCTGTCCGCTAGGGCTTCGTTTAACAAGAATCGTGAGTAGCTCTGCTTCCATATTGATCCTGATTGAGATCCAATCTCCCTGTGAGTGTTGATGCTTCCCTATCCTTTTTTTTTCTTTTTTTTCAGTGAATAGCATACCTTTTATTATAAGAGAAAAAGGATGCCGGGAATCCCTCCAGATCTCAACCCGGGATGCTGGGGTCCATACCAGCTTAGGCTCATACTGGAAAGCGGGTCCAGTGTCCCATACTTTCAAATCCAACACCCTATCCCCAAACAAAACATCGAAACTGCACCAACAAAAGGTCAACTGGTGAAAACAAAACAGGGCCTTATGGTCCTGGCTCCTATTCTGGGGAGCGTCAGTCCGGTTCCTATTCCACCGGCAAGTCAAAATATACAATACATGAGACAAAACACACACACGCTTCCTTCCGTTCAGGCCGAAGGACCCCTGCGCAGTATTGATTGCTCCACCTCAGTGGATGATTGACTGTCAGCTTGCCCTGACCCTCTCTTTCCTCTCAGACCTGGCGGGCAGATCTGCCAGATAATGATATGTCCCCTAGAAAGAGCTCAACCATTATCCCTGTCGACCTGTGTGTCCCCTTACAATGTCCTGCTCGTGATCCGTTTTATCAGCCCTTCTCCATTGGTACACCCCGTTACCACCTTAAACCCTAAACCCTTAGACAGCATGCCCCTTTTCCCCAATCGTTTGGGTCGAACTTGCTCCCGTACTCCTGTTTCTTGGACTAGGTCTCCTTTCACGTTGATCCCCGAAACGAAAGTGGGAGTTGACGAGACTTCATTTGTTGGCAGTCCTTCGCAACAGGATCCTGCTCTGAGGCCCCCATTAATATTCATGCAGCCCGTATTCTTTTTAGGCCTATGCCGCGTTTCCACTCCTGTGTTGTCACCTGCTGTTCCATCTCCCGAGGCCATTATAAGAACCTGTCCTGGGCTGTAATCCTGACTTCCTCCTCCTCGTATTTTCTCACCCTATCATCTCTCTTCAGTCCCTAACGTCTGAGCTCCTGTGGAACTGCCCTCCTCCGTAGAGTCTCAAGATGTGATTGTGCTGTCTGGAGTTGTCTGTTGTTGAGGACCCTTTTCCGGGACTGAATTATGCCACTCTTTCCAGCAAATGCGGTCCTCTCGTATCTCAGCAATCTTGCCGTTTATCAACCAGCTCCTGTGGAAAATCAGTCTTTCCTTCTTTCGCTGTTCTTCGTCCTCTGTCCAGGCTTGCCTGACTTTCCGCCATCTGCAAAGAATCGCAGCTTGAATCATTGTTCTGGTTTCTATCCACACCTTCTCCCGTGGATTGGACCGCCCTTCAATTGATCTGCCGCATCTCTCTTTCCATGTGATCCATAGGGTCACTTTCCTGATGAGTTCGAACCAAATCCTCTCTGCCTTTCGTGCCATATCAGGGATGTTAGTCAGGAGGAGCAGTTGGGTGGGTTGTTCAGGGAAGGGGGATGAGAAGAGGGAATCCCAAAGTGAAGAAGCTCTGGCCCAGTATTCGGTCGCCTCTTTGCAGAGCACCAGACAGCGAACTACATCTTCTACCACGCCTTCGGTACAGACTGTACATAGCTCCAAACTGCTAGGATCTGTGGCTTTCCGTCTGGTGTGCAGTCATTGGTTTACCGGTAAGGCTGCATAGACGATCAGCCATTGCAAGCTTCTGATCTTAACTGGTCGGATACGCTTGAATTTTTCCCAGTGGATTTGTGTAATTTTGTCTGCTTCCTGTCCCAAGAGGTTCCGCCATCTGTTTTTGATGATGGGGTAAAACTAATACTTTTCTTCTTTGTTTATTTTTTTATTTTTTTTTTCTTTCTCTTTTTTTAAACAGAACCTCATGGTTCCGGCTCCTTTTCCATTCTGGGGAGCATCAGTCCGGTTCCTATTCCACCGGAAAGTCAGAAAGGATTACAATTCACTTGCGCTCCTCCCCCTCATGGTGTGGAGGCCCGAAGCACAGCATTGATTACTTCCCGACAGAAGGATGTACCACCCGTCACCCCTGCCTAAGTTAGCCTGTACTACTGAATTTCTGCTCTTATTCTGTAATTGGTGCTAAAACCCTAAACCCTCGCCAGATGTCTCCTTGTCTGCAGTCTGTCCCTGGCGGTCTTGTGGTGTGAAGGACCGACGAACGGCATTAATTACATTAATTACTCCCCGTGGGAAGGATGTACCATCCCTCACCCTTGCCTACGTTAGCCTGGTGTAAGTACTCTAGAAATGTGGTGCCTCTCTGTTATACTGTCCTGCTAAGCTCTACTTGTGGCCTGGCTACAGGGCTGTCTCTAGCTTGTCCCTCTCAGTTGCCTAGCTGTCGGGTTTGCGTTGGATTGCTGGAACGGCTAGAGCAGTTCTTGTCTGAGTGCTTGACTGAAATTTAAATCATGCAGTCCACGGTCTGTAGTAGCCGTAGACTTAGGTTCTGCATTTTTGTTCTAAATTCTAGTCATGGGCTAGTGTTCTGTATAGTTGCTGTTGCCGATCTTAATATCCGCTACTCTGTAGGCTTTGCTTGGGTCCTAAACTCTAGTTTCTGGGTTGGCCTAGTTGGCCCCCTACCCACTGTGAGTCCTTTTACCGTCTGTTGACTGTTCGGGCTTATGTTGAGTGGAGGCAGGATGTGAAGTGCTGATACTAGGATTTTGGTGGGAGACTGAAGAGGTAGGTTTTCAGGAGGGGTGCGAGGGGTGTGAAGTCCGCATGCAAATGGTGAAACTTGCATACCTTGCATTGACAGCAGCTGCCAGGATGGGATAGAATGGGCCAGCCAATGAACCAAGAAACTTCACAGACTCCTCGATTGCGTCACCAGTGGCAGAAAGGTCAGCCTGCACATGGAAAGTGGTTTCTAATTCAATATAAGCATTTTGAAAAAAACATCCTATAGCAGAAATCCCAAGGCCATAGCAAAAACAAAAATCCCATACCAAAACAAGAAGGAAAACAAAGCCCGTACCAAAGAAAACAAAATAAAGCTCATGCAAAGGATTCTTGAATTTCATTACTCCCAGCCTAGCCCAAGAGTCCCAGCTTCCTGTTATACCATATTCCCATCTGGTAGGCCCATACCATAGGGGCCTGTAATTTGGATTCAGGCCGGACAACAGTCGGGATAATTTTTAGGTCCATAAATCTGTACAGATCGGTAGGCATTCCCTGTAAGTCTGTCTGTCTGAATCCGTTTCAGTCGCAGCTTATCCAGAGAGGCCGCAGCTTTCGGATGTCGGAGGGTGACTACGGCCACAGTGATCGGTCCAGACAGCGGGGTCAAGAATTGGAGCTGCAGCGAGTACAGCAATGAACTGTTGAAATACAGAGAAGAGTTCGAATCCAGATAACACCAGCCGACCAGAACAGAAGTCCAGCAGAGCTTGGACATCAACACTATTCGCTTTCGTGCTCCATGTTGTAGCGCTGCCGCGGGGTCTTGCGCATTGAAGAGACAACAGAGAGGGAGAGGGAGTGTATTAGTAGGGTTAGTGGACGGCACCTGTCGCCATAGCTCGGGGAGAGAGAGCGAGAGATGTAAAAGTGAGAGAAAGACATTGTGAGAGGACGAGCGAGGCCTGTGTGAGAGTGGGATAGGCGGAGAGAATGTGTGTGAGAGAGACAGAGAGAGCCTTACCTGCGTGTCGTGTGTGGACAGCCATAGCCGCCGGTGACGAAGAATACAGTTACTTGTGTTGATTACCGAGACTACTTTTGGAATCCGTCTCTCATGTGTGCTTCACATGTGTCCAGTTTGTTGTGAGACTTGTGTACGAGTGTGCCATGCACAGGGGTCCCGAAGAACCATAGCAGAAAACAGAGCGACAAATGCTGCATGCACATATTTGATGTCTGCACTCACTCATATTGACCATAACTGTGAGATGTGACTGTGACCACTAACTGTCGACGTTACTGAATGGTATATACAACATGCAACTACTGGCAAACAAGACGTGAGTTCAAATCCCGATTTACTCAAAACACAGTAACGACTAGGGGCTAGCCCTTTTCTGGAAAGGAAAAACAAATGAAGAACTTTCCAAGAAGGTTTCACTGTTGCCACTCGTATTTTCCTTTTCACAATGTCCTTCCAAAATTGGATTTATTAAGTGCTACAGCTGTGGAGTGACCGCTGGATCGATTCCCTTATAACACTTTATGAACATTCTATAACATTTTATGCACTAATGACATTTTTTATGTACTAAAAAATTAGTAAAAATACTAATAGCATTTTATTATTTATCTACTAAAATAACATGTAACGAACCTGTTCGGAATGAGAAGCTTCCACCGACAGATCCTGCAAGTTTCATCCATATTGTCAAATATAGAATTACTCACAGTAACAACAAATCCAGAATTACTCGAATAGTCCCAACAAGTCCCAACATGATCGGCGAGTCTCCAGAAGAATGGAGTCCCTCGCAGTAACAAGGCCAGCATTACTCAAAGAGTCCCAACATGAGCAATGGCGAGAGAGTAGTAGTTCATTATAATCAATAGTGCAAATAAGTTGGCACTCCCTTCCCTCTTCACCACCGAGTTCCTCTCCACCAACTCGCCACCTCAGCAATGCCAGTCTCTCCCCAAGCGTAATTGATGAAGCTCCTCCTCAAATACCAGCTACGGCGCCCAACCTCCAGCGTCAATGCTGGCTATGGAGGATGGCGCCAGCCTTCTTCAACTTCCTGTGGTAACCAGAAGTCGCTCTAGTATTACCACTGGTCTAGGTAAGACAAGGTAAGCTTCCCATACTCTCTTCTCTCTCTCTCTCCACCCACAGCCCTGATCACCCCCCTCGCCATGTCTCCCTCTCTCCTACAGCTATGGCGGCGAAGTGCCCTTCCTAGCTATGCCTAGCTCTACCACACCCTCTCTCCCCTTCCTGGGCAGGCACTGTCTTCCACAATCTGGCGCCAGCCTAACTCTCTAGACTACCTTGCCCAGCAACACTCACGCCACCAGAATGAATCAGCCCCTGGGGCCGGCCGCTCTTTTATAGTGTTGCCCGGCCTTGGCTAGCCTCAGCTTGCCTTCTCTGACGGCCCACATTTTCTTCATCTGAATGGCCCAGATTTGCTGTTGGCCTCAATTTGCCTGGACCCAACATTTTCTGTGTGAGGCATGCTGTGAATAAATAAAAACCTAAGAAGCTACTACTGCACACTGCATACCCGCTCTCAGATGCACCCCACCACCCCACTTTTCATTTTGACAAAACCTTATGGGGTCCTGCACTCCTTGTTCTAGACTCTATACGCAGGACCGAAATCTTCAACCAGGACCCATAGACAATGCGCAACGCGCCAGGAAGGSAGGAGGGGGGGGGGGGGGAGGGAAAGACAGCAGATAGTTTGAGACATTATATCATTTCAAATGCTTATTAAGGCACATTACTACATTTTTCCTTAATAAACACCCTGACTATTTACCTTTTTTTTCACAACCACCCAACAGATTATCAAGAAAAGGTTGGGTGCCATGGGTGGTTATAGAAATGGCTGTACCAACGGTGGTTTTATTTCAACCATGCAAAAGATGATGTGGAGGCCCGCACCTCTGCAGTGGGTACATTGTATTGATGTTTTTTTTTTTGCTTTTTATCGTGTGTTTTTCAAAGATCCCCAAATGTATCATCATTCCAACCACAAATCATCACAAACCATCCATAAAACAAAAAAGGAATAGGTAAGCAATACATAAGAGGATGCAAGGATGTGCACGTTTGTGTGGTTAAACCGCAAGAGCCCATGTATCTGCAGGGTTTGACATGGTGTATAAGGAAGATGCAGGTTTTTAACTCCAGCCCTATCAAGCACCCCCACACAATGCACACACAGCTAGCTTGACCACGATTCATAAATGCCCGCATAAACTGCTGAATAAACAAAACCACCAGATAGAAAGAAACACAATCATCGTGAATGATCAGAGGATGGCCATTGTAAGGGCGTACCTCCAGTTGTGGAAGAATTGGTGACAGCCGAAAAGCAATGTCGCGCAGTAACTGATGACCGATATTACGTTTCTCTCTTATACACATCTAGATGTGTATAAGAATCAGTAGTAGTAGCGTTAGTAGTAGTCTTCAGCGCTGGGCGCTAGTAGCGTTAGCAGTAGTCTTCAGCGCTGGGCGGCTAGTAGGAGCTAGAGTAGTACTGGAGAGAGAG